GCTCTAAAGGTTATAACTGCATATATGTTTAAGTGTATAAAATAGATAACCGTATTACTGAGTGTTTTTTTGGATCACTGAACAAAACTGTTCGCAGTCTCACTGTTTGAAGGTCCACTTTATATGCTTCAATTTTGTAACCTGAACAACTATTTCTAAGATGAGAATATGTAATCTATTAACTAGTGATTTCTTACTGTTTATTTTTTAAATTTTGTATTACTTGTACCTTTTTCTGTTTTTTTCCTTTTTCTCCTTAAATAAAATAAAAAAAAATGTCCATCACCTTTTAGGAATAGCTAAAAAAATAAAACACATATTCAAGTGGTTAGTATTGCTTATAAGGTTTTCCTGCCCTTCAGAGTTATCTTTTACCATCTACTAAATTATGTGATCATTTCTGTCTGAAGGGAGATAAGTGTGAGATAAAACAAAATTGAAAGCAGGTCTATTTTGCCACCTGTTAGCGGTTCTAGTGAAAGGAAGTAGGAAGAAAGAAGCAACTACTAATAAAAATGAACAGGAAGAGCTGGAGAAATACATGGGAATGTTCTATTTAAACCATCTTTTTGCTCTTTACTATATAGATCAAACACATTTAGTTACACTGATGATATTCTCAGGCAAACACTGCTTGGCTGCCCAGAAAGAGTTATTCTTTTCTTTAATGCAAAGAAAGAGAAGCCTAAATGTTTTCCAAGGACTGGTGACCAGGTGATTCAAGAGATAAATTAGACCAATCTTTAAGAGTCCATGTCAGTGAAGGTAAAACATTTACTCTCCCAGTACAATCCCCTTGATACATAAGGACTGATTCCAGAATGGCAGTGGATAGATGCCCAGCACTATAGATGCACACATCCCTGCCATTAACTGATGCACCTAGGTATTCTTTTACACACTTAAAAGCATTTCAAGATTACCAATAACATCTAATACAATAAAAAATGCTATGTAAATGGTTATACTATACTAATTATGGAATAATGACAAAAATATGTTCCTACATCTGCTCAGTACAGATGCAATTTTTTTCCTCCGAATATTTTCTAACTACATTGGGATGATTCTGGATGTGCAGCCAATGGCCATGGAGAGTTAACTGTGGTTGATTTAGGAATAGACTGGCAGAGACGATGAAACAAAAGGAAGTCCACTGAGGGCTATTCCAGGGGATCTTCCTTGTCTCTCATAAAAGAAAGAGCCATGAAGAAGTACAGTCCCTTGTTCTGCCTCTGGCTAGGTGGAGTTGCAGCAACCACTTTATAACCAACTAAGCCAGTTTAAATTAAGAATTTAATTTAACACATTAAGAATGGCAGAGAAGGAGGATTGGGGTAGCCTCATTAAGCCAATAAATTATCTAATCCACAGATGTCTCCATCTTCAGATTTCTTTTTTTGGTACCAGGAATTGAACTCAGGACCTAGCACTTGCCAGGCAGGTGCTGTGCCAGTGAGGTATATCACTGGTCCCAGACTATTCTTAAATCAGAAAAAAAAAAAAAAAAAACCTTCCCACAATCTTGTTTTAGCATTTAAGTCATTTTGAGCTTCATTTACTTGTGATTTGAAATCAGAAGAAAAAAATTCAAACTGATTCAGTGCCAAGCATAATCATCCCTGTGTAAAAGCTAAATGTAACAAGATTATGTTTTTAAAGGGAGGTAAAAAGTTTCTGGAGTAATCTCATTAATAGAAGGGAACTAAGTTCACGGTATTTGTTACGGGTTAAGAACTGGTGGTCAACTTAACGCCAGCTGGAGTACATCAGCATGGCATTGAGTCTTCATGCTCCACCTGAGGAAAGTTGCCAGGATAAATTGGTGGAGAAGAAGGGAGGTGTTAGAGGGTTAAGGCATTAAGAAGGCATTGTGGGTTCTCCTACAAGTTGCTCTCTGAGTGGTTGGTTCTCCTGGAGAGTCTTTGGTCCTCACATTGAGCACTGCTCCTGGTTCCAGAGGGGAAGACATGTGCTGCTTGGTCTCCAGGATGAACTCGTCACGCTGCTTCCTGGCATGTACCCGACTGTGTTTGTCCTCAGAAGAGCTTAGGGCCTCCGTGTCGCTGAGGATGACTGTGATGCCTTTCAGGATAGCCCTGGTCTTTGTTGTGAGTGTGACTTCTTGGCTCCAGTGTAGAACCCTCATCCCACTAGCACAACTCCTTCATCCTGCTGGCACAGACTTTCTGGCTTCCACCGCTGATCCTTGGGTCTTCCTGGCACAGATCCGTAAAAGAGACTGGTGTTGAGTCTTTCTTGTGGGCTCTGGACCTCCAGTTGGACTCGTGGGAGGCACTGTCCTGAGCTCTGGGTTTTTATCTGGATTCATGTGGGACGTTGCCGTGTAGTTTAGGCTCTTGACTAAATAATCTATATCGTTGGTGTTGCAGATAGATTTCCTGCATTTTCCTGTGTTAACTTCCGGTGACCATTATATATTTCAATGTTTGGCTAGAACAGCATTTTCCCTCTTGCTCTGGAGAAAACACAGCATTTAAGGCTCTTTCTGATGCATGTGGCCCTATTCTTTTTCAAGCCCTAAAACATACTGTACAATACACTTTTGATGTACCCTGGCAAAGTCAACCCTGATGCTGCTTTTGGAAATTAGTGTGATTTACCCATACATCTTTTTTGTTTGTTTCAAAGAAAACAGGCTTTTTAAAATTGCCTCTCTTGGGTATTGTTCTAAATCCTTAGTAACTCCCGACAAGGCAATGATGGAACTTCAAAAATTTTTTCCAATTAATAAAAATATGATTCCAAAGTAGAACTTTCAACTCTGGTGAAGTATAAATTAAGCTGTATGTATAAATACAAATTCACAAACACTTCGAAGTGTGGCTTATAAAAACCAGTGCTGGGGCTGGGAGTTTAGCTCAGCAGCATAAGCACCTGCCTTGCAAGCAGGCAGTCGTGAGTTCGATCCCCGGTACCAATAACAATGAAAAAGACCAAAAAAAAAAAAAAACAGTGTCAAAGTATTGTGTATCAATCCATGAGTTCAAGGATTGCCAAAATTAAGAGTGATTTTTTTTTTTCCCTCCTGGTTTATGATAGTTAACATGGGAACTGTTTCTGTCTGAAGCAAATGCTGAATTTATTAATAATGTAAGTAGCTCTAGGGCCCCTTTACCATGGCAGTAAATCTCTTGCCTAAAACCAGAACTGTTTCCTTTATTCTTTAATGGATTAGGTCTGTGTACTTAGTTATATAAATGAGAGTTGTATGCCTTTTTATATCAGAATAATATTTGAAGCAAAACCAAATGAAAGGGGAAGGTACATAAATTAGTATTATTTATATATGTAAAAATTTATATAATATCTATATACACTATTATATTTCATCTTGACTGTAATCCTATGGACCAGGTATTAAGATGTCATTTTCCAAACTCTAAGATGCCACGGATTATATGATAAGCCAGTATTAAGAAATTTTGCCAATGAAAATATGACATACCATTTATAAGATACAATCTGATATCAGAGATGTCGAAATGTAAAATAAGAATATTTCTAAGAAAATTTATATAAGTGCATAACTAGTTACCAGCTGTCCTGACAAAGACTATACTTTCTGCCTCCCTGAGTTCTAGGTAATAAAACTGCTACAGCTACTTGCAGACCAAGGTGGTGAAGAATCAGGAGTTCTTTCTGCATTCTCTCTCTTGTCCCACCTATCAGAGTTGACATGATGATGCCACAACCCTGGAAGTACCTTTTAAGTAGGGCAGAGCCTCCATGTCTGGTACCTGAAAAACTCAAGGAACAGAGCCCCAAATCACGTTTTAGGTGGGACACAACCTTTATGTTTGATGTCACCAATAAATACACTTTTATTGTTAAACTTATGTCACCTAGAAATTTACCTGCGAGTAACTCAAATTGCTCCAACTTATACAATGGCAGATTAGAATTTGTCCGATTCCAAAGCCTGGACCCATTCTGTTGCACTACACAAATATAATACTGTACCCTTATCCCCTTCTGAATTTGAAAACACAATTAAAACAATACTATCATTATATTTTTTAAAAAGGTTTCATCACTTGGTTTGAAAAATAGGAAGAAAACAGTAGATTTAAAATTAGTGTCTGTTAAGGAAAAAGTACAAGGAGGAACAATTAAGGTTGTATGTGTCACATCACATATGTAAGAGAGAACGTACAGCATGGGGGAAGGCTTTCCAGAGCGGACAAAAGTGACACATACAGGTATGTGCTCCTTCTGTTTTGACCGACTATAATGCTTCCTGGGTTCAGGAAGAGAAGTTCCATTAGTTGTTAGACTCTTAACCCTACTGTTTTAAGATCTCAAGAAAAGATGGTGCTCATTCCTAAAATAACTTGAAGCAAAGGAGAAGGAAAAGTGAACAGCTGGACTGGCCATGGAGGAAAGGAGGAGGAAGAGGTGACAGAAAAATGAGAGGTCAAGAACACAGGTTCTGGATCAAAGATGAGAGTTTGACCCACGGCTCCACACTTGCTAGATTCATGGCCATAATTTTGGGTAATCAGTTAACATCTCTAAGGGCCAACTCTGCCATTTATAAACAGAAGGCTGTGGTAACAGAAAGCTTCATGATGTGATGAGAAATGAATGAGAAAACATACAAAATACACCTATAACACATGCAAAACGTAGCTTGAACAGTTAGGTGAGCACATGCTGAGTGTTAGTTGCTGTTACATTTGATGTCACTAATGATAGCTTCTTTTTCTACCTATTACAAATAGGTAGTTGTGCCTTAATCTCTTCTGCCACACAGAAACCCACTGAAGCTAAGAGCCTGAGGAAGTTTCTGTTTCAATTTTTTTATTGCTGCTAACATGCCTGGAGGGAACAGTAACAGAGAAAATAAAAGTATGTTTGTTATATATTTCAATAGTGGTTTCACTTTATAGCTTACATAAAAATAGCTCCCCGCCCCCATTTTACTATATTATAAGGAATAAAAAGAAAATTAAAAAGAAGAAAGAGAAAGTCCTTACCCGTTGTTTTTCATTTGTGCCCTTTTTATTGGTCTCTTTTCTACTTTCATCTTCATACACTAGAACAAAGTCGATTCTTCGCTGGCCGTCGTTAAAATACAGGGAGTCAGCTTTTCCATTAAATTCCTCCTGTGTGGCACAGAAAAACAGATTTTAATAAATTTCTTTTGAAAAGTGCTGATTATAAATGTTTATCTTCTAGCTTTAATATTTTCCTTGATGTGCTCATTGAAAAAGACAAATCCACCCACGCCCACTACCAGTTACTTGACCAAGCGGCCCTGGCTGCCACAACCCTTGTGTTACAGTCTGTGTTAGTGAGAGGAAGTCTTCGTACTGAAAGGCTCAGCATTATCCTACAAAGGTGGGGAAACACGTCAGCACTCTGCATATAACTCAATCATCACAGAATTATTAAAACACCATAAAAGCAAAGAACAAATGGGAAAAGACAGGTCTAACACAATTTAAAACAACCTCTTCTGTCATATGGACTTGGACAGAAGTAGCTTAATTTATTCTGAAGGGGGATGGGTTTGAGTTCTTACACAACTTGTCAGAATGCTTATGTTAATTTTCTTGCTGCGTAAGAACCAGGTTGCTTTTCAGCTGTTAAGTAATATATTTTTTTTTTTAAATTTCATTTTCCCCCATTCCAAACTGATGGGAGCCTGCATTCTGCCATTATTTGATGAAACCACTTGGATGTTTTGTTCATTAAACATGATAAATGCTCCTCTGTGTTCAGTTTCAATTAGCACAGAAATCACCTTATTTTACAACTACCACACCATTTCCTCCTTCACACTTTTGTGAAGAGGTATTTTTATCCTACCACACCTTCACACTTTTGTGAAGAGGTATTTTTTGCAACACATTTAAAACTGGTATTTATTATTCCTTTTCTCTTTCCCACCATGCAATGTGTGAAGGTTTATTGCTAGCAACTCGAGAGCCTCCCAACTAAGCAAATTATTCCACATACAGAATGAACTCTGCTGATGGGACTCACCCCAATGCACCTTCAGCCCAGTCTCACCTCATCAGGTATTCTAACCACCAGTGGTGTGATTGTCTTCAGACTTTTCCTATCCAGGGCACTGAGCATAAACACAAATGAGACACACTGATGTCTTGAGCTGATGCTTTTATTCAGTTCTTTCATTTGCTGTGTTAATTATTTAAAACAAATGTAAAGAGTATACAAAGTTCCATAAAAAATGCTAAGCCTTGTCTTTTTTGTCTTTTTCACTTTGACCACAGAGTTCCTTAGTTACCTTCAATTTCTTTTCCTTTCAAGTGTTAATGACAACCAGGTTGGCTATTAAAGGGAAACTGTATGTTGAAGGGCAAATTACAGAGTTAACTTCTCAGGATGATGCCCCCACCAAAAAAAAGCAGAGTACATGAAACGTAGAAACGTGGTCATATTGGTAGACATCTGCAAAGTGGACAGTAAGTAACTTGTTGTGTGTAGCCTTTAATGCAGTCCAGCAGGCACTTGCAGATGTGAAGTTCTTTGGAAGTGGACCCAGGATGAGGATCACATTTGCACTCAGCTCCAAGCACACTCTTCTCACATGGCCACTGCATGGTGGCACAGGCTGGCAGTTAGCTCCCAAATGTTCTCCTTGCATGCCTCCTGTGCGTGCAGAAGGCCAAGGCTCTTTGTTTGGAAGAATACTCTAGTGTGTTGGCAGTAGTACGTTGTGTGAAATAAGTAGGTCAAACTCTGCTATGATACTACCAGAATGCAATGCCAGAGAAAAGACTGCCAATCTCCCACTGCTGTGAAATTCAAGTTTCTCATATTTTGGCAGAAGACAGTTCTACCCAGTGCGTATGAAGAAGGCAAAAACTAAAGGCTGGGTTGCTCAGAATATGCAACAAGAAAGGAATTGGTCTAAATGAGACTGGCTTATGAACAAAAAAGGGTGGGGCACCAGTGCCTTTCAGTGTTAAAGTTCCACTCTCTAACTTATTTTACACTTTCTCTGATAACTCAAATTTTGATCTTGGGTCTTTTTCTACTGAGTCAAATGGCACCACGATGAAATATGCAAAAAGAAATCTCAAACCCACTTGCTCCTGTTTAGCAGCTTCAATTTAAAAATACTTAAAGAGCAAGTTTAAACTTGATCAAGTAAAATGGTTTCAGGGATCAAGAACTTATGTATGGCTCCTGCTTTTCCACTGGGAAAGTAATCCTTCTGGTCAGCGGGGTAACTTACTGTCACCCTAAAAGTCTTGGAAAGTGCTAGCAATGCTAACGTAACAAGTAAAAGTCACTAGTCTTTAAAATTTCACCTTTCTTTCCCAGAAAAAAATAACAAGTACATGTCTAATCACAATTGGAGTTTGTAATACATTCAATCTGCTTGTACACATCGCCCCCCTCCATCCTGAGGACACCACATCCACCCTTTCTAGTGGTGACTTGACCTGATGCTGTACTAAAAGTTAAGGGCTGAAGTAGTTTACAGAACTACTGATGTTTCTCTGTCATGACATCAAAATAAACCAAAATGACACTGCCAACTAGTGTAGAATGAGCAACTCTTGTCTTTGAGTTTTTGGCTGTGACATTGCACACTGGAGGTGAAGAGGAGAATCCTTGGTCCAGCAAAGGGATATCTGGCAGGAAGAGCTTGACTGAGTAGGGCAGGAAAGGGACCAAGTACAAAAAGAGGTCAGATGTGATCCACCCAAGCGGTATTTTCTAGGCTTTCCTTTCCTCTTAGTCTGGCTTCTTACCTTTTTAAAATTGTTCCTTCAACAAAAGAAACCCCCAAATGCAAGATTTTCCTTAATCTAATCTGGCCACTAATGCATATAGCAAAATTACTCTTTCCAATGCTAGTATGAGTTTAAGAATATGGAGCAGATTTTTTTGTATGTTTTGCTGTGCTACTGGCAAGGAAGTACTGGTGGGTACAATCTTGTCCCTGGAGCCAGTGGAGACCTCCAGTACTGTAGGACAGCGGCTGCAAAAGAATGTCCTGGAGGAACAACTCCAAAGATGAGCATTTTCCACTAATAGTTGCTTGGCAGGAAAATACGACATACAAAAGAGCAGTGGTCTTTTCCTTGAATATGATGTTTTTCATTAAGTGAAAGGAAACTACAACACGGGAGGTCTGTCTTCTGGCAGTGGAAGGAAGGGTTGGGGTGAGCGGGCACCTGGGGAAAGGGTCACCTGCATCCAACTGCTCTCTGACATGCAGCACGACCGCAGCCCACCCCAAAAAGCACTCTTCCAAATCTCAGACTCCAGTACTAGGACTTTGTGAGTTCTAAAACTACATTGCTTCTCAACATTTGTCCAATCTCACATTTTACAAATGTCTTTATAATGGATATTCAGGCAGATGGGAACTAAGTCCCATTTCATTGTGGAAGAACTGCATCTAATCATTAAAAATGCTAAATTGAAAATACTTGTCTGGATAAAAAGCAGTCATGTTAGACTCTTTGCTCCAACTCTTATTTCAGAATGCCTAAAATGTGCCCTGGATAGCAAGTACAATGACTGTGTCTCTACACTTCCAGATGGCCTAAGAGTAGGGTGTATTCCAGGCTCATTTGAGTTCCTGGTTTTGACCTTTATACACCAAGCTGTCAGAAAAGTTTATTATTTAACAAGAATAGTTCAGAAATCACATTATGAAAAAAAAAAGCACAAAACCCTAAATATTCAGATTTCAAAAAATTTGAAACATAACCACATTTTATTTACATGTCATGTAATTATGAATACTGTATAGTTCCTAAGTATTTTTCCTAACAAATAAAGAGTTCAGGCAGACTCAGGGTGTAAGTAGTAAGTGAAATGCTTTTCCCTTTACACAATTATGCAAAAATATTATAGAAATGAGAGCGATCAGGTCAGATTTTATTGAGACAAAATGCAAATTTCAAAAAAAAATGCCAAAATTCGAGTCAAAGAAAAAGCCAAAAACTGCAGAGATGGGAAGGTTGGAAACGGAAGGTAGCAAAGACCAGTGCTGTAAGAAGCAGGGGTGAAAGGAAAGGGAAGTAACAGGGATACAGAGAGGTACTGGGGAGCCACAGAGGAACTTGTCTTTGACCACACCAGGCATTCGGTAATGTGCTGATGGCAAAGGACAGAAGAAAAGGAGCCTATTCATGAGAGGGAGGAATTCTGAGGAAAGTGTGTTTAGAGTCAAGTGTGACTCAGCAACAACTCAGATGAGTTTTGTACAAACCACAGTCTCCTTCCTCACTCTGTTAACCACACTGCTCACTTCTCAAGGCCATCGGGCAGCCCTTGCTCACCTTGAGTTCCCTGCTAGGCACCTGTATGTAGCAGGGGCTCTAGTTTACTTTTTTCTCAGAATACAGAATGGTTTTTTTCTGGAGATACAATTAATACATATTCAATATTGGACACTTCTAAAAAATACAGAAAAGTATCAAGGAAAAGGAAAAGTCATACATAATCCCATCTCCCAGTGATGAACTGAGCCTTTTTAATATTTCAGCCCACATGCTCGCGCATGCACATTAACCAAAATGGTTCAATACTACACATACTGTTTTATAAACATCAGACATTTTCCTAGCTTTATGTAAAGCTCTGCATCATCATGTTTAATGGCTGCAACATCATTTAAACAGTTCCTCCACTGATCAACAGAAAAGTTGCTTCCAATTTTCTGCTTTTATAAACACTGCTGCAAAACCTCCTTGTCCATATGTCCTAGATGTGCCCATGTTCAATTACTTTCTCATTAGGCTAAATTTTGGAAGCAGAATTTAAGTGCCCTGGTCTTTTAAAAGCTTCTGAGACAGAAGTTGCTTAACTGTCACTAAAAACACTTATGAAATCAACAAATCCATAAGCAGGCTTTGAGTGCCTTGTACCAATCTCACTAGATTAACAATCTCTTCTACTCTACCCCATATCATAGTCAAAATAATATATTTTTTTCATTTGTACCTTTTAACTGAAGAGTGCAAACATTATTACTATGGAGCCTGCCCAAATGAATCCCTGTGTTTTTGTGTAATGCCTACTGCTCTCCTTTACCTAATCAAACTACCTTATTTAATCAGTTGTCAGTAGGTTTTCTAGGGGTTTACTGATGAAATTCTAAAGGCCACACAGG